ACTTCTTTTGGACTGAAGCATGCAACACCCGCTGAGTGCCATAAAACAGCTTGAAAGATCAAAGACCATTTTTAATATAACTCCGACTGGATTCGTCTGAAAGAAGAAAGTCATATACACCTAGGATGCCTCGGGGGTGAACTAACCCTTTAAGCGCAGTGCATATATATAATTTTTATTTCAGTTTTTTTGCTTGTTAATTTAGTGCATCATGTGTTTTTTATGTATTTACAATGCAACTATTTCTCTTGCGTTGTGCAGATCACATAAACCCCCCCCCCCCCCCCCCCCCCTGTATTTCAGATCTCATGCTCAGCCCTCAAAGAATCAAAGTAGTGAACATCAATATATGATTAATTACATTTAATTAAAAATGAAAATTTTATTTACAATTACTTGTATAGACCTGTGTTTTTTTTTAGTTTTTAGTATCATTGAGATACTGTTAAAATTTTGGTTATATATAAATATGCAGAGGTGGCCAAAATTATTAGAACACTAGTATTATATATAATTTTTATTTCATTTTTTTTTTGCTTAATTTATTGCATCAAATAAAAATAAAAAAAAGAGAAATGTTGCCTCGGAAACTAAAATGGTAAATTTTTTTATATTTTATTTCATTTAACATGTATTGTTTATTTACATTTATTGTTTTAGTTAACTATAATAACTAGTAGAGATGGTGCAGACACATTTACACTAAATACAGTTGATAAAATAGTGTGTTTTATATCGTAGGTTTTTATGTGTTTACAATGCAACCGTTTCTCTTGTGTTGTGCAGATCACATGCACGACCCTTGAAGATGATTGTGGACAATATATTTAGTTTTTTTCATTTATTTTAGAATTTCGGTCACATGTTTTGGTACAAAAACAATGGAGATCTCATTTAGAATTATATGAAACTTAAAATGCAACTGATAAAATGTTGTTTTTCTTGCATTTGAAGTATTCTAGGCTTTTATTAAGCGCAGTGCATGTGGTTCTCCTGTGTTTCAGATCCCATGCACGGCCCTCGGCGGCTGCAGGTCGTCGACATCAAATCCAAGCAGTTGACGGTGCGCTGGGAGCCGTTTGGATACAACGTGACGCGCTGCTACAGCTACAATCTGACGGTGCAGTACCGCTACACGGCTAACGGTAAAGAGGAGACGCGCGAGGAGACATGCTACGATACTCTGAACGCCGCGCCGCAGCACACCATCCGCAGCCTGCAGCCCTACACCAACGTCAGCATTAAACTGCTGCTGCGCAACCGCGAGGGAGTCAAAGACAGCCAGGAGCTCCGCGTGCTGACCGACGAGGACGGTCAGTCATCGCATGCATCCTAATACTGCATTCAGAGTCATTTACACAGAAAACATTCTATTAAAAAAAAGGAAAAGGTATTTTATTGGTGCTTTTAGGATTTGGCTGCAGCATCAGACAAAAACATTCATTTTAATGTTATATTAAGAGTCCACATGAAAAACATTGACATTTTGTATAAAATGTTTTATTTAAAAAAAACTGCATTTTATTGGTATTTTTATGATTTAGCTGTATTATCATGTTTTTTTTGTTTCATTTTTAAATTCCCTTAAAAACAATTTTAAGAACAAAAACATTTATCTTAAGGTTACATTAAGAGTCCGTATGGTAAACATTGATGTTTTTGATAAAACTGAAAAAAAAACTTTTGATAAAAAAATTATATAATATATAAATGTGTGTGCGTGCAATGATTGACAAAACATTTTATTTAAAAAAAAATATTATTATCATTGGTATGTTTTATGATTTCAAATTTCTGAATTTTCTTGCAAAAGCAAAACATTCATATTAATGTTATATTAAGAGTTTTATAAAACTTTTTAGTAAAAACATTTATTTACATTTTTTTTTTATGATTTGGCTGCAGCCTCAGACATAATTCAAGTTTAATTTATACATTTTCTTGCTAAAACAAAATTAATTTAATCTTAACAACACATTTAACTTAATGTAATATTAGGAGTCTGTATGATAAACACTGACATTTATTTAAAAAAATTATTGGAATTTTCTTGCTGTAGCATTATATATGATTCAAGTTTGATTCCTACATTTTCTTGCAAACACAAAATATCCGTATGATAAAATTTAACATTATTATAAAATGTTTTATTTATTTTTTTAAATAATAAAAGAAATGTTTTTTGATTTGGTTATGGCCTCAGACATGATTCTAGTTTAATTTATAAAATGTTCTTGGTCTTTTACATTTGTTTTTAATAAAACCCTGTGAAAACACTTTTTTTTTTCATCATGAATAAGGTCATTAGTGTTGAACATAATTCCATTTGCATTCATGAATGGCTTGGGTTCTTCTTCATGTCAAGTTTCAGTGTTAAGTGTGTTATTTCTCCTAGACAATAGCGTCCGTTTAAAACGCGTGTTTGATGAGGAACATTTGAACAAGCCTGCTGTCAAGGCTGAAGCTCGAACCTCTGGAGAGATGCTCAGAGGTCAAGGAACAGCAAGCAGGCCTTGGGTCGTGTCCATATTCCTTTGACTGAATAGATGAATTATCCTTCTCATGCTTGGAGGCCGTTCAGCTTAGCATTACATATTGAATACAAGAGAATATTGATTTAAAACGCATCCGAGTCTCTTCAAATCAATCAGCAGACGCTGATCAGTTCTGTGTCTCGCTCTTTTGTTCATTTCTTGTGTTTTCTCGTGTTTCCAGTTCCCGGCGCCGTTCCGCAGCAGTCCATCCAAGGAAGCACGCACGAGGAGAAGATCGCGCTCAGATGGAGAGAACCGCTCCAGACGTACGGCATAATCAAACAGTATGAAGTGAGTCCCGATTCCTTCAGCCTTCAGCATTCATCTTCAGCCGAACGCCGCCGTATTTCATTCTGCACGCTCTTAATTGACTAATAAATCTAAACTAATAACCTTTAGATCTGAAGGAGCGAGCATGTTAACACGATCTGTTAGCAGCGGCGCTTTCCGATGGAGTTAACCGGCGTTCAGGTCAGCAGAGCCGAGAGATTCCATTAAAAAAGAGCCCTGCAACAATTACAGCCTCCCGCAGGAACGACACGAGGACGGAGGAAAAAAGACCGCAGTAATCTCACACCCCACTACAAAAATATATTAAGAGTTTTATAAAACTTTTTAGTAAAAACATTTATTTACATTTTTTTTTTATGATTTGGCTGCAGCCTCAGACATAATTCAAGTTTAATTTATACATTTTCTTGCTAAAACAAAATTAATTTAATCTTAACAACACATTTAACTTAATGTAATATTAGGAGTCTGTATGATAAACACTGACATTTATTTAAAAAAATTATTGGAATTTTCTTGCTGTAGCATTATATATGATTCAAGTTTGATTCCTACATTTTCTTGCAAACACAAAATATCCGTATGATAAAATTTAACATTATTATAAAATGTTTTATTTATTTTTTTAAATAATAAAAGAAATGTTTTTTGATTTGGTTATGGCCTCAGACATGATTCTAGTTTAATTTATAAAATGTTCTTGGTCTTTTACATTTGTTTTTAATAAAACCCTGTGAAAACACTTTTTTTTTTCATCATGAATAAGGTCATTAGTGTTGAACATAATTCCATTTGCATTCATGAATGGCTTGGGTTCTTCTTCATGTCAAGTTTCAGTGTTAAGTGTGTTATTTCTCCTAGACAATAGCGTCCGTTTAAAACGCGTGTTTGATGAGGAACATTTGAACAAGCCTGCTGTCAAGGCTGAAGCTCGAACCTCTGGAGAGATGCTCAGAGGTCAAGGAACAGCAAGCAGGCCTTGGGTCGTGTCCATATTCCTTTGACTGAATAGATGAATTATCCTTCTCATGCTTGGAGGCCGTTCAGCTTAGCATTACATATTGAATACAAGAGAATATTGATTTAAAACGCATCCGAGTCTCTTCAAATCAATCAGCAGACGCTGATCAGTTCTGTGTCTCGCTCTTTTGTTCATTTCTTGTGTTTTCTCGTGTTTCCAGTTCCCGGCGCCGTTCCGCAGCAGTCCATCCAAGGAAGCACGCACGAGGAGAAGATCGCGCTCAGATGGAGAGAACCGCTCCAGACGTACGGCATAATCAAACAGTATGAAGTGAGTCCCGATTCCTTCAGCCTTCAGCATTCATCTTCAGCCGAACGCCGCCGTATTTCATTCTGCACGCTCTTAATTGACTAATAAATCTAAACTAATAACCTTTAGATCTGAAGGAGCGAGCATGTTAACACGATCTGTTAGCAGCGGCGCTTTCCGATGGAGTTAACCGGCGTTCAGGTCAGCAGAGCCGAGAGATTCCATTAAAAAAGAGCCCTGCAACAATTACAGCCTCCCGCAGGAACGACACGAGACGGAGAGAAAAAGACCGCAGTAATCTCACACCCCACTTACAAAAATATGTTCTAAGAACGTTTCCATTAAGTTATTTCTGTGCTTAATGGAAGTACAGTTTTTTTTCTTGTGAAAGGGAACATTCCGTTCCATGCCGTCGCCATGGGAACGTTACTTTTGAGTGTTCTCTGAACATTCTGTAACATTCGTGTAACATTTTTAAAATGTTGCTACTTGTTTCGGAATGTTCGGAGAATATTCAAAAGTAATGTTCCTGTAATGTTCGCAAAATGATACAAAATGGAATGTTCCCTAAATGTTCATGTAACCAAGAAAAAACATTTCTAAAACATTTGGAGATAAAAAACAAAAAAAACGTTTTGAACATTCAGAAATAACGTTTTTGTAACTTAAAGGGATAGTTCACCCAAAAATGAAATTTTTGTCATCATGTATGAGTTTCTTTCTTATGTTGAACATAAAATAAGATATTTGGTAGAATGCTGGAAATCAAACAGTCGACGGTCCCCATTGACTTCCATAGTATTTCTTTCCCTACTATGGAAGTCAATGAGGACAAACAACTGTTCGGTTCTTCAAAATTCTTCGAATTCTTTGTGTTCAACATAAAAAAGAAACTTAGACATGAGTAAATGATGACAATATTGTCATTTTTGGATGAACTATACCTTTAATTATATTTATATTTTTTGTCAACTGGATGCGCTCTCTCTATAATCACTTTTTCTAGCTCTTAACTCTTACTGGATGATGACTATTTCTCAGAATGGAGAAGTATCTGAGGTTGTGTTCATACGAGCTAGTATAAACCGCATGAAGCCTCATCTGATGTGTGGAAGAGCAAACGCTGAGCTGTTCCTGCCGAGGGGATTCTCATTGTTTCTGTGGCAGTAAAAGACTGGGATGTATGGCACTGGAATAACAAACAGAAGCACATACCGCAGCGCTGGACTCACAGCAAGCTCACGCAGCAGGAATGTGGCAGGAGGAAACATGTTTCCTTTACGGGAAAAAACACTGATTCAGATTCCGGCTCTGATAGTGCTGTTAATCTATTGAAAACAATATCTACTGTACATAATCATCTGAATTGAGTACCTTGCTCTTAAATTTGAAACAGCTTGTTGAATAACTAGGAAATACATTGTGTTATGGAAGTGAAATGGGTTGCCAGCGCTAAAGCTCTAGTCTGTGTGTTATTAAAGGAATAGTTCACCCAGAAATGAAAAAGTGCTCACCCTCAGACCATCCGAGATCAGGATGAGTTTGTTTCTTCATCAGGTTTGTAGAAATGTAGCACTGCATCAGTGTCTCAGCAGTGGATGCTCTGCAGTGAATGGGTGCCGTCAGAATGAGAGTCCAAACAGCTGATAAAAAACATCACAATAATCCACAAGCAATCCACAGCACTCCAGTCCATCAGTGAACATCTGGAGAAGACAAAAGCTGAAACTAATCCAGTTTTAAGACACTTTTAACTAAAACACGAGTCCATAATTCCATCCAACAAAAATGTTCTAAGAATGTAGTGTTTAGCATTTGACAACCTTTGAAGAATGTTTTTTTTTTCTTGGTTATGCGAACATTAAGGAAACATTCCATTGTATCATTTTGCAAACATTATGGGAATGTTACTTTTGAATGTTCTGAAACAAGCAGCAACATTTAAAAAACGTTAGATGAGCGTTCATCTGAAACGGAAGTTCCACGAATGATGTATGAATAACGTTTTGAGAACATTATTATAAACCAGATCACTTTCATTCTGTTAATGTTACTGGAAGAAAGTCTGTTTATAACGTTGAGCGAACATTGCCAGAACGTTCTCAAAACGCTCCTTGTTAACTGGATAGCTCTTCCTCCAGTGAAGACGTGTTCTGGTGTGAATCAGGAGAGAAATCTGCACAGATCAAGCAGCGTTTAAACAGCTCTAAACACATATGTGGCTGGATGTTGATGCGAGAGACAACAGCAGATGCACTTTTTCACTGGAGGAAGCGTTATTATGGATTATGGACTCATATTTTAGTTAAAAAACATCTTGATGGATTTGTTTCAGCTTTTCTCCAGATGTTCACTGAAGGACTGGAGTGCTGTGGATTATTGTGATGTTTTTAATCAGCTGTTTGGACTCATTCTGACGACACCCATTCAGAATCCATTGGTGAGCAAGTGACTAAACTTGCAGCTGCATAATGCAAGACCCTCAAAGACTCAAAGTGAGGAGAAATGTGTTGCGAGCGCCGTCTCAGTCCGTCTATTATTGAAGCACGGTATGTCTTGGCTGTTCCATTGTGTGCTGAGTTTTGTGATGATTTCAGAAGCGCGTGACTCATTCTGCGACTGGAAACTCGGAACAAAGCGCCGCTCAAAAGACTCATTGTTGCAGAACTTCATTTGTGGAAATGCGACCAATTAAGCTGTCAGGTTCACGTTCTGAAATTACATTCTGTCATCGCGCTCGCCGTTAAGGAAGTGTCAGGGCTGCGATCGGTGCCGTTCGCAAAGGACCAAACAAAAGCGTTCTGCCTCATTAGAGTCGCTCCGCCGTGGCATTTAGTTTCTGCAGGGTTGAAGCGATGCAGGTGTGTTTTCCGTCACACGGATGGGCTTGGGTTTGTGCAGTAATTGCACCGACAGCGAGTCGCCCCAGTGCATTCTGGGTTAAGTGCTTTGCTCTGAAACACAGTAATGATGTGATGATGATAAATGTGCTGATCCGGGGTCAGGCCTCCATTGCCTTCATGAATTGCACACATGTGTGTTTGTATTTGACTCCGGTCTCGTGTCAGGTTCTGCATCAGTTGAAGAGAAACCTGCTGGATTTTGGAGAACTGATTTAAACCCAGGGGTTCTCAGTCTTTTGTGTGACATGGACCCCCAATAATGATCATCCTCATGTCAATCACTGTTATTTTAGCATCATTGAGGTGCTATTATAGATTTTATTGATAGATTATTTAGATTATAGAGTTTCCATTTTCATTTTAAATTTTATTGAAGGTTTCACAATTTGCTGTTTTTTTTATATATTTCTTTATTTATTTGTTTTTAATATATCTATATCATTTCTATACATTTTTAGTTTTACTTTTGCAATTACCTGAAATAAAAATGTTTCATTTTAAATTAGTTTTTATTTTTAGAATTTTCATTTTCCATTTTATTAATGTTTTTGTCATTTTATTGTGTGTTTTTGTAATTTTTATTAGATTTATTATTTATATTATTTTATTTCAATTCAATTTTTTATGTTTTTAGTTTTAGTTAACTATTATAACCCTGATGTTAGTTCTATAATATCTTGGATAAAAACCCAATTTAGACTAATTTAAATAGGTATACTATTATATACTATACCAATTTATAAATATTCAGTTTATAAATAGTTTATAAAAATAAGTAGAAGTTACAGTAGGGTTTTTTTCTTTTTACTCTATTTTTAGGGGTATTTATTTATTTAAATATAATTTGTATTGCTTACTTATCAAATTATTTTAATGTACTTTTTATTATTATTTATTTCTTTTAATACACACGTCACATCCTTTCCTTTTCCTTTAATACAATTTTTTTTTTTTATTTTAGTTTATTTTAATATATTTATTTAATGACTGTTTATTCATTTTAATATTTTAGTATCATTTATAATTTATTTATTCATTTTTTTAAATATCATATTTATTTATTTAGAGTACTATTTTAGTTTATTTTTTTCTTAACCCTGTTTCTCTCTAAACTGCACCCCAGTTCACTGCAAAAAATGCTTTTCTTATATATTTTTTTAAACAAGCAAAATAATCTTGTTTTCTGTTTTAAATTATTTAGCTAGTGAGGAAAAACTTAATTTTGACTCGTTTTTTTTTCTTCCTGAAAACAAGACAATTTTGACTTTTTCAAACTTTTGAATCCTTCTTGATATCTTGGCTGGAAACAAGACAAAAAAAAGCATTTTTTTGCATTGTTTGGAAACCCCTGCTTTGACCAAGCTATCTGTTTGCCCGACCAATGTTGCTGAGTGTTTGAAACATGCTTGCAAATATAGACTTTATTTTGCAATTCCATTTGGTACCGCATAGAAACAGCACACTTTTCCTGTAAACACGGTAAATACGTTCAACACCTGTTAGCAGCTGAAATCATCAAATTAGCCAAAATACTGACTGAACAAACACACATGTGAATTCTGAGGACTTTTACAGCTTGAACTGGATGTTTACTAAGTGCAGTATTTTCCTGTGCATTCGTGCCGCACAGTTCCTGCTTGCTGGATTGTTTGTGCATTGTTATTTATCAGGAATATTTGATATTCCGGGGTCGTTTTCCTGTGTTGATCCATCTACCTGTCTTAGACTAATAGCAAAGAGCCACTTGATATTTCACAGCTGATGAGTCCCATCGCCGCTCTCTTTGTGGCCTTAAATTGGACTCTGAATAGAGTTGCATTAGCCGCGCCGCACATTAGCAGCTGAATGATTTATTCAAATCAAGCCCCTCAGCTACTTCTCATCAAGCTATATTAGAAGCGCGGGGCGTCTCGCTCTCGTCTCGCCTCCCGCTCGAGCAGAAGAGAGTGAAGGAGAACAAAAGTGAGGCTCCTCCATCATAATAAAAGATCATACACAGAAACGCTTCCTCGTTATTCTGCACGATCCGCTCTGATTGTTATTGCATTCTGAAGCTCGAGACAAGCACTTGATTTCTTTACATCAGGGATTCACAAACCTTTTTGTCAGCCCAACGCCTTAGACTTTAAATATTTACTTCAAGCCCGCCTGGGATTTTAAGTTAATATTTAAATCATTTCATGAAACATTCTTATGTTCGCGCTTCTCTGATGTCTGCTAGTGGTCACATGACGTGCAAGTACATAGATCAAATGTTTCTTTCTTTTTTTAGTTAATGTTTTATTTTGACTTCGTGGCTGGACTTTAAAATGAACTCTTTAATAAGGAATTAAATGTATTATTTTGTGTAAGTCCACATTAAATTCACTCTTGTGTTTTCGGAGCCCAATCAAGTTGAAGAATAATAATAATAATAAACTTATTATTTGAACTAATTATAAAAATGCAAATTGAATTTTTTTTTTGTGTAAATTACAATTGTATTATGTATATAAGAATTTTATTTTATATAATTTATATATGTATATAAGAATTTTGTTACAATACTAATATTTATATTAATTATTAATATATATTTTAATTATTATATTTTAACTCTTTGAAAAACGAAGACAAAAATGTATTACTGTTGTAAATTGCAACTATACTATAAAATAAATATTAATTATATTAATATATTATTGTAATATAAATTATCCTGCTATATTACATTTTATTATACTGCGTTAAATTATTATTATTGTAATTAATGTTTTAACTGTTTACTATTAAATACTGTAAAATTACATTATATTAATATATTATTATAAAAGTACATTATATTATACTTTTATTTTACACTACAAGTTACAATACTAATATTTATGTTAATTATTATTTTATTTATATTATTTTGTATTATTGTTTTAACTTTTATTAAAATAAAGACGCAATATATTACTGTAGCAAATGACTGTACTGTAAAATAAAATACAATAATATTTATATAATTTTTTGACTCTACAAATGAGAATACTAATATTTATGTCATAAATAATTGAGTGTTTGTGTGTCTGCAGATCTTCTATAAGGCCGTCAGCTCCTTCGACCCTGAGTTTAATCTGTCCAATCAGAGCGGGAAGGTGCTGAAGCTCAGTAACGAGACGTCTCACGTCTTCACGGCTCTGTATCCCGGATCCACGTACTCCTTCACCATCAGAGCCAGCACCGTCAAAGGATACGGACCCCCCACCATCACACAGTTCACCACCAAGATCTCACGTAAGAGCCGTGTGTGTGTGTGTGTGTGTGTGTGTGAGAGAGAGAGAGAGAGAGAGTGTGTGTGTGTGAGTGAG